GTGGAGCTGCTGAGCTTTGGAACACTTGCCCCAGCAGGGCAGATGAGGGCTTGAGCCCAAGGGCCGAGAGGCCATAAGAAGCAGAAGGTGAAGGACAAGGGACACAAGAAGCCGAGCTGTTTCAGCCTCAAAAGGCAAATGTCATTGTGGCTGACTGGTATGGAACACATGGTGATGATCCATACACTCTACAGTACAGAGAGTGTGGAAAAGAGGGAAAATACATTCATTTCACTCCTAATTTCCTACTAAATGAGAATTTAACAGCTGGCTATGGACCACGAGGCAGGGTGTTTGTCCATGAATGGGCCCATCTCCGTTGGGGTGTGTTTGGTGAATATAACAATGAGAAACATTTCTACATAAATGGGCAAAATCAGATTAAAGAAACAAGGTGTTCGTCTGACATCACAGGCATTTTTGTGTGTGAAAAAGGCCCTTGCCCCCAAGAAAACTGTATTATCAGTAAGCTTTTCAAAGAAGGTTGCATGTTTATATACAATAGCACCCAAAATGCAACTGCATCAATAACGTTCACGCAAAGTTTATCTTCTGTAGTTGAATTCTGCAATGCAAGTACTCACAACCAAGAAGCTCCAAACCTACAGAACCAAATGCGTAGCCTCAGAAGTACATGGGATGTAATAACGGACTCTGCTGACTTTAATAACTGTGCTCCCATGAATGGGACTGAGCTTCCCCCTCCTCCCACATTCTCCCTTGTACAGTCTGGCAACAAAGTGGTCTGCTTAGTGCTGGATGTTTCCAGAAAGATGGCTGAGGCTGACAGACTCTTTTGACTGCAACAAGCTGCAGAATTCTATTTAATGCAGATTGTTGAAATTCATACCTTTGTGGGCATTGCCAGTTTTGATAGTAAAGGAGAGATCAGAGCCCAGCTACACCAAATTAACAGCGATGATGACCAAAAGCTGCTGGTTTCATTTCTGCCTACCACTGTGTCAGATGAAGCAGAAACCAGTGTCTGTTCAGGGCTTAAGAAGGGATTTGAGGTGGTTGAAAAACTGAATGGAAAAGCTTATGGCTCTGTGATGATACTAGCGACCAGTGGAGATGACAGGCATATCGACAATTGCTTACTCACTGTGTTCAGCAGTGGCTCAACCATTCATTCCATCACCCTGGGTTCATCTGTGGCTGAAAACCTGGAGGAATTATCACATCTTACAGGAGGTTTAAAGTTCTTTGTTCCAGATAAATCAAACTCCAATAGCATGGTTGATGCTTTCAGTAGAAGTCCCTCTGGAACCAGAGACATTTTCCAGCAACGCATTCAGCTTGAAAGTACTGGTGAAATTGTTAAACCTTATCATCAACTGAAAAACACTGTGACTGTGGATAGCAGTGTGGGCAATGACACTATATTTCTAGTCACATGGCAGACCAGTGGTCCCCCTGAGATTGTTTTATTTGATCCTAATGGAAGAAAATACAACACAAATAATTTTACCAACAATGTAGCTTTGCACACTGCTCGCCTTTGGATACCAGGGACTGCTACGCCTAGACACTGGACTTACACACTGAACAATACCGACCACTCTCTTCAAGCCTTGAAAGTGACCGTGACCTCTCGGGCCTCCAGCTTAGCTGTACCCCCAGCTACTGTGGAAGCCTATGTGGAAAGAGATAACACCCATTTTCCCCATCCAGTGATGATTTATGCAAATGTAAGAAAGGGGTTTTATCCCATTCTTAATGCCACTGTAACTGCTACAATTGAGCCAGAGACTGGAGATCCTGTTACACTGAAACTTTTTGATGATGGAGCAGGTGCTGATGGTATAAAAAATGATGGAATTTACTCGAGGTATTTTTTCTCCTTTGCCGTAAGTGGTAGATATATCTTGAAAGGGCATGTCCATTGGTCTCCCAGCATAAGCTCCCTAGCCCACTCTATTCCAGGGAGTCATGCTATGTATGTACCAGGTTACATAGCAAATGGTAATACTCAGATGAATGCCCCAAGGAAGTCAATGGGCAGGAGTGAGGAGGAGCAAAAGTGGGGCTTCAGCCGAGTAAGCTCGGGGGGTTCCTTTTCAGTGCTGGGAGTTCCAGCTGGTCCCCACCCTGACATGTTCCCACTATGCAAAATTATTGACCTGGAGGCTATAAAATTGGAAGGTGAGGTGACTCTATCCTGGACAGCACCTGGAGAAGACTTTGACCAGGGCCAGGCTACAAGCTATGAAATAAGAATGAGTAAAAGTCTGCAGAATATTCAAGATGACTTTAACAACGCTATTTTAGTGAATACATCAAAGCTAAATCCTCAGGAAGCTGGCACCAAGGAGATATTTACATTCTTACCAAAGCTGGTCACAAATGAGCCTGAAGATCAATCTGATGGGGAGACACAAGACAGTCGCAGAATTTACGTGGCAATACGAGCAATGGGTAGAAACTCCTTAGAGTCTGCTGTTTCTAACATTGTCCAGATCACTCTGTTTATTTCCCAGAACTCTGCTCCTATACTTGCCAGAGATTGTCTTATATTGAAAGGAGTTTTAACAGCAATGGGTTTAATAGGAATTATTTGTCTTACTATAGTTGCAATACATTATATTTTAAACAGGAAAAAGAGAACAGCCAAGAAAGAGAGTGGAACAAAATTACTGAGAACAAACGTGCAGAGCGCCTTTCTTCTTAGATATAAGACCCATGGCCTTTGTATTTTGCAAAATCATA